GCCTACAAGTAAATTGGAGTTAGTATGATAAAAAGTGGGGAGGAGTGTGTCTGACAAACAACTAACGTGTGCAAAGACACGGAAGTGAGAGGAAATGTGTCATGTTGGGGAAATGAAATAGTTCCCTGTGGCTGAACATAGAGGACAGGCTGCAAGTGGCAGGCAGTAGACCTGGGGAGGAAAGAAGAAGCATAACTATAGGGGATTTGTTGATTGTTTTATGAAATTTTTTTAATCTTAAGAACAAAGGAAATGCATTGAAGACTTTAAGTAAGGGGAGCCAGATAATCAAATTTGAGTGTTTAGAAAGCTAAATGTAGTTATAGTATGGCAATTGGTGAAAAAAAGATGGTGAGCAAAACTAGAGACAAGGATACCATTTAAGATACTGTGCAGGATTCCTCTTGTGAAATAAGGAAGTAGCAGTGGAGCAAGATAAGTGGATAGATTTGAAAGATATTTAGAAAGGGGGATTGAAAGTAAGAAAACAAGTGGAAAGAAAAGGAAGGAAGGAAGGAAGGGAAGAAAGACAAAAAGGAGGAAAGAAGAAAGAAAAGAAGGAAAGACAAAAATTAATGGTGACTTTGAAGTTTTTATATGGGCTCCCTGGAGAATGAGAACTCCACTCAAACACAGAATCATAGGAAGCCTCAACCTTGTATTACAGTTTGCCCTTATCTTTCATCTTACAGTTGCAGAGAGATTTCAATTGACAGATTTCACAAAATCATCTCATTTGATCCTCACAGTAATCTCTGTGGAATCATCATTAATGCACTTACCAAAGAAACTGAGCTTGTGAAAGGGCCCAGAGGCCAGAGGAAATGTAACACATTCAAGGAAGCAAGGAAAGAAAGTTTGGAGTGGCTGGAGCATAGAAAGTGAAATGGTGTGAGCAAGGTCAGAGATACTGAATCATGTAGAGTGTTGCAGGACATAGTAAGAATTTTGAGATTTAATCCTAAGAACATGGGAAGCCATAGATGATTTTAAGCAATGGTTACATAATCAGGTTTATGTTTTTAAAATATCATTTTAGTGGATGTGTAGAGATTGGAGAGGAAGAGAAGAATAAAGAGAGAATGATCAAAGAGCTATTGCAGTAGTTAAAGTGATAAAGATGGCAGTTTGAACTAGAGTAGTGGTGGATAAAACTTTAGATGTAGATATGGGTATATACCTCACCAATTCTATTCAGTATTGTACTAGAAGTCCTTGCCTGTGTGAGAAAGCAAGAAAAAGATTTAAAATACACACATATTTGAAAGAAAGAAAGAAAATTTTCTTTATTTATACATGCCATAATCATCTATGTGCAAAATCCCAAAGAATGTACAAGAAAGGTACTTGAACTGATAAGTAAATTTAGCAAATTTGTAGGGTACTAGGTTGTTATTCAAAATTTAATCGTGTCTGTATACTAGCAAAACACATTATACATTGAAATTTTTAAAAAAACATTTAAAATAGAATCAAGAAACACAAAATTCATAGAAATAATTAAAAAAATATATGTGTAAGGTTTCTATGATGAAAACTACAAACATGCTGATGACAGAAATCAGACCCAAATGAAGGGAGAGACATACTATGTTTATCAGTTGGAAGATTCAATAAGCATAAGTTGTAAATTCTTCCCAAATTGCTCTACAAATTCACTGCACTTCAATCAAAATTCAAACAGGCATTTTTTTTTTTTGTAGAAATAGATAAGCTGGTTCTAAAATTTATACAGAAAAACAAAAACCCTATAATAGCAAAAGCAATTTTAACAAAGAAGAGCAAAGTTGGAGGATTCATAGTAAATGATTCTGAGATTTACTATAACTTATCAATATATTGTAGTATTGGTATAAGGGTACACTTATATCAATGGAACAGAATAGAGTCCACACATATGTGGTCAATTAATTTTTGACAGTAGTACCAAAATAACTTAATGGATAAAGGAAAGTTTTTTAAACAAATCCTG